AGTTTTTGCAGCGGCACTGGCGGTGTTCAATGACGATAATTGCAAAATCATCCAGGGAGAATTTAGGTTCAACAACCCAAATGCGATTAGAAGCTTAATTGAATTAAAGAAACTGAAGTTAGTAAAAAATAATAAGAACATTTCCTCGACTTGGTGTAATACCAAAATAATGCTAAAGCTTTTTGCAACAATACAAAAGCAAATAACATTTAGGGAGTACACATTAACGATAGAAGAACTACTTAAGATAGCGTTAAGGTTCTCCAAAATGCTATGATAAATCGTTCAGCTTACTTCTTGCCGAATTTTATTCGAAAGCGGAAAGGTCTCTAGTTAATTTTCCACCCCGTCATTAAATCCTCGTAAAGGTCCCTTTTTGTTTATATTTTAATTCATTCAGCAATTATTCGGGGGCCAGGAGCCCAAGTGTACATCAATTTGTGTCAGGGTTAACCAAGCGTGTTTTTTATCGAGCGGGGACAATCAACGTTTTATCTTAATAGCTTCAGATCATACAAACGATAGGCAAATAGAACATATTTTTGATTGTCAAATTATATTCCATAAAGGGCGTTTTCGACTGTATTAACCCCAACTCTGCAATCATCATACCATATTATTGGTGTGCTTTCCATTCGGTTCTAACAGTAAATTTTTTGGCCTTCAGTTATAATGTAGAGATTTTTAACCATTTTACCATCCTGAAGTCCCATTGCCTCTTTTCCATTAATACGAAGCTTATTTGATAATTGTAAATAAAACGAGATAACTATTCATTTAAGTGCAATAAATAAATGCATATTCCAGAAATTTAGAAGCGAATTTCCGTCGTCCACGAAATATGGTGTTATTTATGTGACACGAAAAGCCCTTAAAGAATCTCAAGCTGAGTGGACCTAAGCATACTCTGGACCTTTTTAAATGTTTTATTTTATTCCATTTTGCCTTGTCAGCTGGAAATGGAAATGTGAAAAGTTATTTTGTGGCTTACTTTTCTTTAAATCACAAGTTCGAAATGAGCAACCAATAACTTATAAACGACGAGCAGAAATTACCGTGATATGGAACAACTCATTGGTCCTTTGTTTCGTTTTGCAACTTTCATTATACCACCAGAGCCAATCCATCAACTCAACGGTAAGTTGAAAATCAACTGCAATATTGCTGATAAATTTTTAAAGGGTTGTATGCGCGAATAATCTACTTCCAGACCCGATTTCGTCGAAATACCGTCAAGAGTGGAATTTGACACTCATCCGTTGTATGATTCCCTCATTCAAGCCTGAGATCCCTAACATTTATTGGGGCAAAATGTTATGGGCCCGGGCACAACACACATGGGAATGGACAATCAGGTTTTATGTATTTCATCCCTTCCGACTTTGCCGATTACACTTTAAATATTTCCGTTTCGGTGCTTTCGTTTAGCATTAACTGGCATCTTCAGCAGTAAACAAAAGCATCAATTTTATTAGTTCAGGGAAAGTAATTGCAATAGATTTAGCAAACAAATGAAATAAAAAACCATCAGATGAACTTCCGTGCAAAATGGGGCCTGGAAAGTAAAGTATTTACGCAGAGTATCAAACGATTTTAACCATTTTGATAGAGAAAAGCATCTGCCAAGTAAATTATTGAGAAAGCTCCTTATAGAGCGCTTTATTTTGATGAATTTTGACGGCAGTGTAACTATAACTCCGTTATAATGCAGTTATAAAAATGCAGTTTCAAAAGAATGGACTTCTTTTAAGATTTAGATTCATGTAAAAAGGCAGAGAGGGCTTAAAAAAATCGTGACTCGATGTCCATCTATTACCTCGCGTGGAAACCGACGAATCAGGTTTTCTTGCCCCGTAATTGCCAAAGAATTACGCCAGCAACTACTAAAAAAATATACGCAAATCATTTAATTAGTATAAAAGTTAGAAGAATTTGAACTTTACAAAAAATCTGCTGCTTCATTTTCATTTCAACTGAGTGTCTATTCATCATTGCTTAGGATCTGTTCTTGATGAAAAGGAGAATTTGAAAAATTATCCAGTTTATTGAAAAAATGCGTTTTAATTCAAGCACTATACAAAACTATGCCCTCGAACTTTTGTAATGGAATTGTCGAATGATTCGCATTGAAAGTTTCCCTTAAGAGCTTTATTTGTTCAGCTTAAAGAGTGGGGTAACTTACTGACAGTTTCCAATAAAGTTTTAATGAACTGTTCGCTTAACGAACTACTAAAAGTTAACGACTGAGATGATCCTTTCCCCATTTAGGAGTTTTTAAGTGCACAAACATGGTTTTTAGTGCCGGATCTCAATAGGGGGCTAAAAAGATCGTCAAAGTAAATCACATGAGATGAAAAATTGAAGTACATAGAGAAAAGTTGAAAAAAGTACATAGCTAAATAGTTGAAGCATTTATATATATTTGCTAATTTTGAGTATTGGGCTCGACTACTTTTCAAACCACCTGAGATAGACAATGCGTCTTTCATTTTTTACACTTTTATTCAGTATCTTGATAGACAACGGGCCAATATTTAGAGTTGATAACTGGATAAAACGCCAACATGCTTAGAAACTGAACAAGAAACTTATGGAAAAATTAACACAAAAATTAATTAGTATTAATATTAATCAACTTGTTTGACCACACACTAAGAGAGTAAATTTGCGTAGTCAAGAAGTGTTTCTTCCTGTTTGCAAGTCTGCGATTCTTGTTTTGTATGACCTCTATGTTGTAAATTAATTCATTCTCTTAGATATTTAAGCTCTAAAATTTGCATCTGCTTTCCGGGTTCTCGGTTTGCTTTCATAATCGAATTTTCATTCTTGGACGTAATTCAGTCTTCTGTGCTGGTTCTGACTCCTTTTCATGCAATAAATCCCCAAAAGCTATTGTTTGGCTTAAAAACTCGCCAAACATCCTCACATCTGTAAAACTATGTTGCTTTTTTTAACTCATCGTTGGCTCTCTTATATGAACCTTTCAGAACATTAGAATTCGAGATTAGAAAATTTCCAAATTTTTTTAAACCAATTGGTCTGAATAAAAGTTGAGAAGGATTTTGAATAGCGGAAGCCGATGGTTCTGCACAACTTTTCCTTTCGATTTTAGACCGAAAAGTTCAATCTTTGGGTAGAATTACCATCACCGCAAAATGGAATAATTTTAAAATGCCAAACGTGGAAAACCGCAATTCGATTTCTCAGTTGTTTCATAGTTATTGCCTCAAGAATAACTTCAGTATTTTGTTGAATTTCAGTTATGCTGTTAATTTTAATCCAGTTTTTAGCCTTTGGGGCAATGAGTTAATCAACCATTAAAACAATTACGTTATAAAAAAATTGTCAACGAATCCTCAATGCACGGAACTAAGAAAACGATAACTTCTTCGATTACAAATGTTTCTTTTGCCAAGAAAAACAGATTGACTGCTAAATTTTGTTTCAACAAGAAAAGGAAAATATTACTTCTTTGAATTTACTAAGGGAGTTAGTGGCGCTTTCCGTTTATTGGTCGGGAGTATAAACACTTGTATATCAAATTACTCGTTCAAATCGAGTTTTTTCCACTCTCATCTGTACATGACTAACCCAGATATTTATTTCGCTTCAATGTGACAATTTTGTTGCGATTTTGTTGTTCAATATTTTTGAGTTTCGAAAGTTTTGTCCATTTTGAGACAAATTTTGAGCCAAAGTCAAATTCGGGTTTAAACACTGGAATTATTCCTAATGTTTTGCATATCGAATCCCAAGAATGCCATTATTTGCGGACAAAGTTACATGTCGAAATTTGATGAAATTCGATAAAAAGCAGAAATGCAAAAAAATAACATTTTTTTAAGGGCAAAACCCAACTCTGAAATAATTTTTATTGGCTTTTTGTATGTAGTTTTTATTAGCTTTTTGTAAGTAACTGAGCCTGCGAATGTGCATAAAATATAAGTTCAATTCGTTCAAACATTCATATGAAATCTTCCATCATACATTTTCGGTATTACTCAATCTTGACCTCGATGGCATCATTTAACATTAATAGCCAAGACAGTGTTGACTGTTTCATCAATACAAACTCCCAATGTAAGCAGGCACCATTTAACTTCGGTTGGAGTGTCAGTCGTAAATCCGTTATAGTTGATGACATTTGCTGGCTTTTCTATCAACAATTTAAAGGAAAATCCACCAGTCTCTATCTCTATTGAAAATGGGACTCGCATTTATTCGTTGGAGAAATGTCGAATTGAATGAAAATAAATTGATCGAAGTTCCAGGACAAAGGAAATGTTTCCCAGAGTCTGAATCATGGATGACGAATGCAAATTAATTTCAAATATAATTTCCATTTTTGTGAGGAGAGAAGAACAATAGCGCAGCTCCTTCTTTACCAGATGGGCGGCCACTGAATTTCGAAAAGATTCAACAGCAACAGTAGCTTTTTGCCGAAAGTTGCTGATGTATAAATCTGGCAAGACTGTCCCTTTTCCATGCCTTTCTTAGCGTAATTCATTAGGGTCATTTTTTTGCACCGACCTCAATTAATCTCTTACCGTTTCCCCATTGTTACTTGCGCCAGAAAAGAGGGAAAACATGTATAATTATGCCGACGAAGAAACCCACTCACTAAATTATACAAAATATATAATTGCTCTCATTTATCACCAATTAATTCACTTGCGGGTGTATAAATACATAAAAAGACCCGGTAATAAAAATAAATAAAACAGCAACTTGCCGATTATTTTGCGTGTGTTTGATTTGAAAATGCAATTAATCGATAGAATCAACAAAGTTGGCAAAAGACAACTAGAATATGTTTTCTTCCTTTATTTACTTAATTATATTTTTTTGTTTCAGATTTAAAAACTTGTTCTACAGCAGGGTTTTACTTTTGAAATTCAGTTAGTCCCATTCGAGTCGTAATAATAAATTTGTTGTCTGGCGCAATTTGCCAGCTTTTGTAAGGAAACAGGTCCAGGGAAAACTTCAATAAAACCCCTTAATGATATGCGAAGCGTTTACTAAACTACCGTGCAAATTATATTAAGCACAAAAAGCAACGAATATAAATTTGGCAAAATAACCAATTTCCTTATGGTACAGCATCCATCGTGGTAAAGCTAGCGATAAATATGTTGACCACTGTTATTAAAAACACGCCCAAAAGAACGTATGTATTTAAAAGTTTTGCGTTCCTACATTTGGACTCGCCTTTTACATAATACCGTCCCTTGAAAATTAAAAGCATCGCCAGGGCCAATTGTAGGGCGATTGAAAATATTATCAAGCTAAGGGTTATGAGGAAGGTGTGGCTTTTCCTGTTAAATTCCAAAATGTACCTCAACTGGTTAGCATTGGCCGTTACAAGAGCGATGTCCATTAGTCCTGAAAAAAGTGGAATATTTCAATTAGTAAACAGAATTCATTTGGCATCGTACATGTTTGGGCAAAATATTCCATTATGATCCTTACAAAAGGAATTATGGGGTTCTAAAGAGATTTTAATGAAGAGGCATTTAGCTTTTGCATCGTATAAACAAAATCCGCCACTTTCATCTTCTCCGCCATTCCAATTAAATATTCCAATTTCCTGCTTATAATATTTAAGCACCTCGTACATAAAATAATGCTATTCTAAATCCTTGATTCTCGGCCTAATTTGCCGAGCACGTCTTTGAAATTATCAATTCACTGCCGCGTATTCTACAAAATGGTAATTCCTTAAAAGACTTAATGAACTGAGTTTTACCCAATTAAATTGATTTTACGCGGCAGGCTTAGAGAACGAACTCGTCAAAATGTCCATGAAATATGCCGGATTAATTTCCCAAAGAAATTCATAATTTTGAATTACATGCAATTTAGGTGAATTGCATAATTTAGTTTGAGTAAACGAAAAACTTTGCCAAGGGCTTAAGAATGCCAGGATGTTGCTAATGTGGAATATTAGTTAAGTTAACTTTAATAATATAATAGAATAATAATTAACAATTTAATAAATCAACTGGTTTAGCTAAATTTTGTATTCACTTATACCGTTTTTGCACTTACTAATAAGTTTCTCATTCTTTTGCTGTTAATATACCTTGAGCCGCTGTTTTTTTGCCGACTGTTCCATAGCGCAGAATTCTTGACGCGGTTCCACCACTTGAATCTTCGTCGTCCATTGCAATGGTTAGCACTTCTTCATAGTCCGGTTTTCCTCCATCTGGCACATCATTACCTGTATTTTCCTGCTCTAAGAAGAAATACGTCCTGTGATTCCAAGTGTTTAAATCGACAATAATTCTCTAAAGGATTGTGAAAGCGTTAAGAACAGGAAGCAAACTAATCGTGCTTGGTGGAGGCATTTCTAGAGAAGATCAGTAAATGCAGCTTAAAATAACTTTTCCCTACTGTGAAAATAAACTGAATAGTTCCCTTTAAAGCGGAAGTTTAAAACCGAAAATCAGGGTTTCTTCTTACTCTTAAGAAACGAAAAAATCACCTCTGTCCATAAGGCGAAGAAAATTACTTTTCCTGTTAAACAAAACTTTCCCGAAAACTTCCAAATTTTGTTGGTTAGCCATTATTTCTAGCCACGCTAAAAGCAAAAGTATCTTCTTATGAGTTATAACAAAACTTCTCGCTTCTGAGCCCTGGATTACCCTTATTTTCTAACAACACATTTCACTCTTCTCGTTTTTTGTTTTTTATTTCTAATTAAATTTCCATAGCTTAATTAAATATTTTTGTTATCTGCTTTCACCATCTCTAGGTCATTGTTCATTGAATTACCTGGAACTTTGGCTCCCAGCTCTATATTGTTAAGCTCCTGGTGGAGCTGTTCTTCATCGGGGTCATTTACGTCCATTGTATAGGCCGACGTGCTCTTTCTCTTGATTAAGCTTTATATATAATGTCTAACATAATGGGTTTTGCACCCTAGAAATGCGAAATTATCAAACTTTATTTACTGCGGTCAAACAGTTAAATAAAGTCTCAAATAAATGAAATTTAATCGACTCTGTTGACACAGTTTTAAAGCTTCTAATTGAAAACGAGCTTCCAGGTTGTGTTCCAGTAAAAAACTTTTAATGTTGTGAATAATAGTTATTTAATTATGTGGAAAATGGGTGGCATGTCCACTAAGTGTACCCGCTTAGCTATTCGACCAGATTGTCGTCAATCCCTAAAATCCTATCGAGTCGTCGCGCAACAGAACACATAAACTTTAAAGAGTAACACAAAACGACAGGAACTCGACACGAAGTCCCCGATTTTCCGAAACAATTTCCCGTAAATTTTCACGCGCCGTCAACTCCCGCTTTGTCCCGAATAAGGAAACAGGAAGAACCGATGTGACATTCTAAGGATCGTACAATAGCAATTTACACTAATAAACAATAACGGTGTGGTAGAGATAACGCGTTAACCGCCAAAGTTATTTTTGTGTGCCCATTATCTCCTATGGCGGTTGCCACGTATCTTGCTTTCAATCAACTTTCATATTTTTGCCGCTTCATTTCTAACAGTCAATCCAGGAATGAAGGATGGATGGACAGCAAATTCTCCGTTCGTTTCTCCAGGTGGAATTTTTCTGAAATTTTTTATTTTTCCATACTAAAGAGTCATCAGATTGCAACTTGTAAATGCGTTCAACGTAGAAGTTAATCACTATAGAACAGAATCTAATTCTGGGTCTGGGTGACCACTTTTCTTGCAGAAAATCTGGTCTCACTACCCTTTTTCGAACCTAACTCGTTTAGTTAAGAATAAAAGTTTTTTTTTCTAGCTCTTACAACCTGTTTATTTGTCTCTTCTTTCTAATTTCTATTCTCATCTAAACTCTCTCATGCTCGACTATTTTTCCTCCTAAAGTTTTCTCATCCTCTCTTTTTATTATCAGTATTTACTATTCGAAGCTCAATTATTGTTTGGTTATTGGTTACGTTAATTTCGTTTCTTGCCTCCTAATTCACTTTTTCTGCTTATTATTGTGTAGGTATACCTAAACTTAAGACTTTTGCCATTGATTTAATTTCTCGATTTTTAGTTTCTACTTTTCATCTTCTCCTGAGGGCCTCCCATGAAAAATTATTATGAAGATTCTGCAATCATTTCTCGCTTAAAGTACGATTTCTTTAAATTATTGATTTAAATTTCCCAATACTTTTCTCGCAGTTTCAACAGGTCCCATTATAATTCACGACTCGCCAGCGGTTCCCTAGAGCAATCACAGATTTAAAGGAAAATCTCCAACTGATCGAGTTGCTACAGGTATAATTTTCACTTCCGATCTAATAATATTTAAGCTGTTTCCCAGCCAAAAGTGCGCTCCAATAAAATGAATTAATATACACTTTGTCTTTTTAGTTTGACTTCTGTACGTTTTACTCAAATTAACAATGACTACCTAAACTAAGCAACGATAAATTTCGTGATTCTTTGAAGAAAAGGTCATAAGTTATATTTTATTTATTCATCTGATAATAAACAGAGTAGCATACAAAAACTACTGATATAATCAGACTCTATAAAATTAATAAACTTTCAAAAAGATATTCATTAATGTTTCCAAACCATATCTATTGCAGCCTTTCCAAACTGTAACTTCTACTAGTAATTTTTCTAATTCAACTCTTAAACTGATTTTCATTTTATTGCAAAATAATAAGCCGGCATGTTAATAACAATTAATATCCAATTTATAGCAGATCCATAGTACTTAGGAAATTAGCCTAAATTGAACATCACTGTACATTGTACCAGAGGTAGAGCTAAATTAATTTGCTAACCGTCGGAAAGTCTAAGGGTGAGTCCCATGGGGCTGTTTAAATTTTATCTAGGAGAAATGAGATTTTCGTCTGCATAGTCTGGAATTGGTTAAGGGTTCTTATCCCAATCTCAACGAAACTGGAAAGTTGGATTTAAGTCGCCGACGAAGCTCGCTGAATTTTTATAGTAGAAGTTACTTAATCTGATTAGAATCGAAGATGGTCCAAGAACTAGAGCATAAATGATAAGAACACATTTTTCAGAAACTTGGTAGTGCGGAATACGATTTTATTTGATTACCAGTCACAAATATATTGCGCGGGTACGCTTAAGATGTGTTTTAGAACATGTATCAATTAATCCTGAGCTACGAGCTTCCATTGTATGTTGGGAATTTCAGGATGCCCCAAAACATAGTATGCAATTTAAATTTAAAACAAGCGCGAGTTAATGCCATTTCGGGGCATACAAAATGGAGTTGTTACATTTTGAACAGTAAGCAATTTTGCATATTGCACAAAAGCGTTTTAGTAACTTGAGCAAGTAATGGAAAACGAAAATATTACTAAAGTTCACAACAGGTTTTCATCCCAAACAGTGAAATAAAAAATAAAACAACAAAGGAGTCATATTCATATTTCCAGTAGGTTTGAAGTTAAGCTAGCAGGTTTTTAGAATGCTTTCCGAAGATTTTCGTGCATATGGACGTGGTAGATAGCGAAGCAAAAGACATATAAGCTAATAGTAAATAAACATTATTTATTTCACTCCAACTTTATCTCTTTAAAATTAAATCGAACGCTGGAACACGTAGAACATATTTTATACTTAAGTTCACGTCTAGCTGAAGACTGAAAATATATGCGTTCCGTGACTGTAGATGCACACACCTGAACTTTATATTTAGAGGTTTGGCCTTTAAATTTCAAATTGGACGAATTAACGAATTGTGCACAGTATTTTGCTAAACTACACTGACCGTTCTGTTGCAAGCATCAGCATAATAAAAACGTGCATTAGCAAATTCAACCTAACCAGTCAAATATTCAGTAACTGCAGCTTTAATAATGGCCGAATAGACGAATAAAGGGGCAGATAGGACAGAAATTCTCATTATTTTCTTATCTCGCACGAGCTATTAAACCACAAGATGGTTACTTTGTGCTTGCCAGGCACACAAAGATGAAAAGAATGAACCTCATGGCGACAAATTGTTTTGAAATATTAAATTCTAACAGGATTTATCACGTGATTGAGCATAAGCTAGTGGAAAACATTTAAAAGGTCATTTTGAAAAACGCAAGTTATTAAAAAAAACTGATAGCGAAATCATAAATATACAAAAATTACCCGTTTCTGAATAGAAGACTTTATATAATAAAGCATTAACTGATGCCGAAACACACATTTACGCAAAAAAAATTCAAAATCTTGACTTAGTTTCGATTTTTTCAGCTTGGCACCAAAGGAAATAATTTCTTCAGAACATGTTATTATTTTTATTGATTTGGTAGTCAACAGAAATGTTTTGTTGTATATGAGTGGAACACTTTTTGGCAAACCCCAACTACTTTAAAAACTCATTAAAATAATTGAGTCTTCAGAACTTAAAAAAGCCAATTAAACCGAACTTTGCCAATACTTTCATCGGAGTTCCGATTTGATACTAATCATTCTTAAGAACCTTCCGAACGAAATTACTAAAGCCTTTCAGGAAAACAATTTCAAACAGAAGTTTAGCTGTGCTGAGCGGCAACATCTGTTTGAATCTTTTATCTTGCGGCAAAAGGGCCTTCATTATAAAATTTTGTTAATAATTCAAATGAAATGTTACAGTCGAATCCCCTTCCGCTGAACAATTTAAAACCCTTAAAGACGCACTTCAGATTAACGTACTAAGTTTCAGAAGACGGAACGCGCCATTTTGAGGTAAAATTTCCGGATGATTTTATGAAACTGGCAGTGCTCGAATAACTTATTGTTTGTTTGAATTCCATCATTCAAGCTCTGCTTGTATGGTAAAATGGGGTTTGTCTTAACGCTTTATAACGGCGTGAGAAAGAACTGCCTTTTCCGACTACCGAAGCTTATTTTAGGCTAAAGTTACATGATCTTGCCATTATTTTTAGGTTTATACGCTGGTTTGGTGGGCCTGCCTTATTCTACTCCGTTTTTCATGTATATTTACTTTCATTTTTATATGATTTTTGTATAAATTAATGCTTGCTTCAGTTCTCCAAATGTATACTAAATTTGTAGTATTGAATAGTTTTACGTTTTGTGATCATGGCAAAATGTTCAAAACTCAAGAGCTTAAATTATATTTAGAGCCCCAAATCCCGAAAGAACTGAATTGGAACTATCTTCCCACTGAATTAATAGGACCCGATAATCTATCGATCTTAGACATAATTTGCAACGTAATGGAATTTCTATTTTCTGCTAGAGCAGAGTTTTCAGTTTCAATCGAGACAATTATTGTCATCCCATTTCAGGTTTAACTCTGGATTCAGGACAAAAATGTCATGTTAAATTTTTCGAGGTTCGACCTTCCGGCTTTCGGCCTTCCTTCCTAACTGGCAAATAATTAGGTGTTCAGTTCAGTTGTTAAATGAGCGCTTTTTAATGTTTAAATTTTCTGAAACTCTCTGAAGAAATAGATCTTTTTATAATACGGAGTGATTCTAAAGTTACCTATTTTTTAAATGTATTGAACCCATAGAAAGAAGCAATATTTTCAATAAACTTCAGTTACTTTGGGTTGGTCTGGTTAAGCTTTTTGTTAATTTGAGTAAAATTTGATTAATTTTGCTTGTATGTTGCTTTATTCATATCAATGTTCCTATAACTAAACCTTACTTAAAAACACACCTAACTAGACCGTCTTTTATTACGCGAATGTTTTCTCTTCTCTATAACAATTTATTCAAACCGAAATTGCAAATTTGGAATGAAGTGCAGAGAATTCGCTCTTGGAATCCATTTCGAATGCACTAATTTCCATTGAAACTAGGCGGAACAGAACTGGTTTCAATTTATTCAGAAATACTATTAGCCAAATGCAGTTTCTAACTTACTGTTTTAATATCGGGGAGATGCGAAGAAATATGAAAGTATCATTTGCGATTGGGAAAATAGAGTTTTGCGAAGCGATGTTGTTTTCTGGTGCAACGATTTAATTCAAATTTAGCCAGTCCAAATATCTAAGTGTATTTATTATTTTTGTAAGTACGTTTTGCTGCAAACTTTGCAGGAGTTGCAATTAAGCTGGTGCTTAATAAAAGCGCAGATCCTTGTTGGGGTATTGAGTAAAAATCGAAAAAGAGGCTCTAATTTTTAATAAAATTATAAAGGCTCAAATTGATTATTAAATTTTATTTATTGGTCTAAATAAGAGTTTCCCAATTTCTCATAACTGTAGCAGAAAGAAAATACGTAAACTTTTAACACTTACCGATTTGTTCTTAGTCAACAGACTCAGATTAATATACTTTACATAAATTATAACCAACAAGAGCAGAGCGTAAAAAACATATAATGTAATGATTCTAAATATGAGAAGAAATAATGGCAAATCAAAAACTTTATGCAGACACTAATATTTAAAGAATATAAACATCAATCTTGGA